ACGCTCAAGATGGACTCCAAGACGGCCCTGGAGCATTCCAAGAGGGCCCCAAGTCGGCCCATAGAGGCCCCCCGAACGGCTTCCGACGGCGTCAGACGGACCAGGAGCCCACCAAGACGGCCGAACATGTCCCTAAGATGGCCCAAGACGGCCCAAGAGGTCTCCAAGAGGGCCTCCAGGAAGGTCCGAAAAGGCAAAAATCATTGATTTCCCGTGGGTTTTTGAAGGATTGTAGCATTTGATTTGTTTCTGCCTTCCGACAGCCCGAGACGGCCCAAGTGCACCCAAAGATCGCCCAAAAGGCCCAAGACACGGCCCATAGAGGCCCCCAAGACGGTCCAAGAGGTCTCCAAGACGCTCAAGATGGCCTCCAAGACGGCCCAAGAGCCCTCCAAGACGTTCTCCAAGAAGGCCCGGAAGTGTCAAAATGGCCTCCGCACGGCCAAGATGACCTTCAAGATGCCCACGTGTTCCCCGAAGACTTTCCAAACCGATTCGGGGAACACATGGTCCGATAGCTTGGCAGGTCTGGCCTCAACGTTCGGCCACATAGGCGTCTCCAAAAAGGCAGGGGGCGGCGGTGATTCGCCGTAGGCGTCTTCGATCCCTGGCGTGCCGAACTATATGGCTTTTGGTTTTGCCTCTTTTTCCAAAAGAACTCCCCCTGGGGCGTCGGCCCGTCCCGCCGGCCACCCGGAAAGGCGCTCAAAACGCTTCCGTTGTGCCTCTGTTTCCTCCGGCTGGCCCAAGATGGCGTGCAAGACGGCCAAGATGGCCCAGGATGGTCTCCAAGACGTCTCCAAGACGGACCAAGATGGCCTCCAAGACGGCTAAGATGGCCCCAAAATGCCTCCAAGACGGCCCACGATGTACCCAAGACGGCCTCAGCTAGCCTCAGGATGGCCTCAACATGGCCCAAGGCGGCCCAAGAGGCCTTCAATACGGCCCAAAAGGCCTCCAAGAGGGCCTCCAGGAAGGGCCGCAGAGGCCCAAACCATTGATTTTCCGTAGGTTTTTGAAGGATTTTGGGATTTGCTTCTTCTCGGCATTCCAGGTCTCCAAGATGGCCCTATGACGGCCCAAGAGGCCCCCAAGACGGCCCCAAGAGGGCCCCAAGAGGCCTCCAAGACGGCCAAGATGGCCCAAGAGAGGAGGAGATGCCTCCAAGTCCGCCCAAGAAACCCCCAAGACGGCCCAAGACGGCCCAAGAGGTGCCCAAGAGGCCTCCAAGACGGCCCAGGAGGCATCCGAGAGGTCCTCCAGGAGGGCCCGAAGAGGCCAAAACCATTGTGTTTCCTGGGGCGTTTGACGGATTTTCGTATTTGCTCCTTTTCGGCTTTCCGACGACACAAGACGGCCCAAGAGGCCCCCAAGATCGCTCCCACAGCGCCCAAGAGGCCTCCAAGATGGCCGCAGGACTGCCCAAGAGGCCTCCAAGACGGCCCCAAGAGGGCACAAAGACGACCCAAAAGGCCTCCAAGACGCCCAAGATGACCTCTAAGACAGCCCTGGAGCACCCCAAGAGGGCCTCAAGTCGGCCCAGAGAGGCCCCCCCAAACGGCTTCCGACGGCGTCAGACGGGCCAGGAGCCCACCAATATGGCCGAAGTTGGCTCGAAGCTGGCCCAAGACGACCCAAGAGGCCTCCAAGAGGGCCTCCACCAAGGCCAAACACAATGCTTTTCATTTGTGTTTGAAGGTTTGGCATTTGTTTCTGTTCGGCCAATACGGCCCAAGAGCCCCCAAAGATCGCCCAACGATCGCCCAAAGATCGCCCAAGAGGCCTCCAAGATGGCCCCAGAACGGCCCAAGAGGCTCCCAAGACGGCCCAGGAGGCCTTTATGACGCCCAAGATAGCCTCCAAGACGGTTCCTGGAGCATTCCAAGAGGACCCCAAGTCGGCCCAGAGGGGACCCCCAAACGGCTTCTGACGGCGTCGGACGGGCCAGGAGCCCACCAAAATGACCGAAGATGGCCCTAAGATGGCCCAAGACTGCCCAAGAGGCTTCCAAGAGGGCCTCCAGGAAGGGCCGAAAAAGTCTAAATCATTGATTTCCCGTGGGTTTTTGAAGGATTGTAGCATTTGATTTGTTTCTGCCTTCCGACGGCCCGAGACGGCCCAAGTGCACCCAAAGATCGCCCAAGATGCCCACGACGGCCCCCAGAGGCCCCCAAGACGGCCCAAGACCAAGAGGCTTAAGATGGCCTCCAAGACGGCCCAAGAGCCCTCCAAGACGTTCTCCAAGAAGGCCCGAAGGGTCAAAGTAGCCTCCAGGCGGCCAAAATGACCTTCAAGATGCCCACGTATTCCCCGAAGGCTCTCCAAAACGATTCGGGGAACACATGGTCCGGTAGCTTGGCAGGTCCAACCTCAACGTTCGGCCACCTAGGCGCTTCCGAAAAGGCAGGGGGCGGCGGTGATTCGCCGTCGGCGTCTTAGATCCGCCGCCCCTTGTCGATTCATCGCAGGGGTGCATGGCGTGCTAGACCCTTTCGGTTTTGGTGTTGGCTCTTTTTCCAAAAGAACTCCCCCTGGGCCTCCGGCTCGTCCCGCCTGCCACCCGGAAAGGATCTTCCAGAGGTGGTTGCCGAGGGTTTTCCTGCCCCAGATGGCTCCAAGATGACCCAAGATGGCTTCCAAGATGCTTCCAAGACGGCCAAGATGGCCTCCAAGACGGCTAAGATGGCCCCAAGATGCCTCCAAGACCGCCCAAGATGTACCCAAGATGGCGTAAGATAGCCTCAAGATGGCCCAAGACGGCCCAAGAGGCCTCAATTCGGCCCAAGAGGTCTCCAAGAGGTCCTCCAGGAGAGCCCGAAGAGGCCAAAATGATAGATGTTCGTTAGGTTTTCGAAGGATTTTGACATTTGCCTCTTCTCGGCATTCCGACGGCTCAAGACGGCCCAAGAGGCCGCCAAGATCGCCCCAAGATCGCCCACGAGGCCTCCAAGAGGGCCCCATGACGGCCCAAGAGGCCCCCAAGACGGCCCCAAGAGGGCTCCAAGACGGGCCAAGAGGCCTCCAAGACGCCCAAGATGGCCTCCAAGACGGCCCCGAAGCGCCCCAAGAGGGCCCCAAGCCGGTTCAGAGAGGCCCCCAAGACAGCTCTCGACGGCGTCAGACGGGCCAGGAACCCACCAAGATGGCCGAAGTTGGCTCGAAGCTGAAAACACTGATTACCTGAGGTTTTTGTTGCAGGATTTTGACATTTGCTTCTTTTCAGCCTTCCGACGGCCTGAGACGGCCCAAGAGCCCCCAAAGATCGCCCAAAGATCGCCCAAGAGGCCTCCAAGATAGCCCCAGAACGGCCCAAGAGGCCCCCAAGAAGGCCCCAAGAGGCCCCCAAGAAGGCCCCAAGAGGCCCCCAAGACGGCCCAGGAGGCCTTTATGACGCCCAAGATGGCCTCCAAGACGGCCCTGGAGCATTCCAAGAGGGCCCCAAGTCGGCCCAGAGGGGCCCCCCAAACGGCTTCCAACGGCGTCAGACGGGCCAGGAACCCACCGAGATGGCCGAAGTTGGCTCGAAGCTGGTCCAAGACGGCCCAAGAGGCCTCCAAGAGGGCCTCCAGGAAGGCCAGAGAAGGCCAAAACCACTTATTTTCCATAAATGTTTGAAGGATTGTGGCATTTTCTTTTTTTTGGCCTTCCGACGGCCCGAGACGGCCCAAGTGCTCCCAAAGATCGCCCAAGAGGCCCCCAAGACGGCCCCAAGAGGCCCCCAAGACGGCCCAAGAGGCCTCCAAGACGCTCAAGATGGCCTCCAAGACGGCCCAAGAGCCCTCCAAGACGTCCTCCAAGAAGGCCCGAAAGGGTCAAAATGGCCTCCACACGGCCAACATGACCTTCAAGATGCCCACGTGTTCCCCGAAGGCCTTCCAAACCGATTCGGAGAACACAGAAGCGCTTCCAAAAAGGCAGGGGGCGGCGGTGATTCGCCGTAGGCGTCTTCGATAGGAAGGGAGCCCAGTCTGAATCACTGTAGTTTGAAGACCCTCGCCTGTAGGGCCCCATCCCTCAGGGTCCTATCCTTGAACCGCCCGAAGGCGCTGGGACGCCGAGGCACGGACGAAGACGCCCACCAGGCGCAGCTACGTAGATCCGACTCCCGCGCGCCAAGTGGGCGATCGACGTTTTATCCATGCCCCCGCTCGCGCCCCGACCCCAGGAGCCAGAGCGGGGATGTGCATGAACGCCTGGCCTCCGAGGCCACGAGGTTGATGCATGCCCAGCTCCCCGTGGCGCCCACAGCGGGAGGCAGCAGCAGGGGGATGGATCACGCGTCGGTCGCCGACAAAAAAGGCCGCCCTGGGAGCACGGCGCGCGCAGGCGCCCGGCATGATCATCCCTCGCTCCTCGCACTCCTCGCTCCCGCCCCCCGAGGACAGCGCAACCCACCCCCACTCCCAGCCAGGACCCCCGCTCCCGACCTGGTGATCCAGGGTGCCCACGCTGGGGGTGGAGGGTGGCGTCGGGCCTCCCCAGCAGCCCCGCCCCAAATAGCCCCCCCCCCCCCAACCAGGACCCCCTGGATCACCAGGTCGAGAGCGGAGGTCCCTGAGATCCGACGTGGAGCCCCAGACCCGAAGACCCAAATTTCGGGTGGGGGGGGAGGAAGGGCACGGGCTTCATGGTGGATGTTTTTTCGATGTGCACCGACTCCCCCCCCCGCTGGGAATGGAGGCAAATTAGGGCCTTTGGGTTGGGTTTGGATGGTTTGGTGGGCGGTGAAGAGTGGGCTCCGGGCTGTAGGCTGGAGTGTCTCTCAGACGCTGCCCTCGTCCTCCTCCTCCTCCTCCTACTCCTCCTCCTCCTCCTCTTCCTCGTCTTCATCTTCTGATTCTCCTCCTCCTCCTCCTGCCACTCCACCACTCTTTCGTCCTCCTCCTATCCTCCTCTCCCGCCCCCTCCCCGAGCACGAAGTCCGACCAAAGGCCCTCGGCCTCCATGGCCGGAGCGGCCGGCGCGGCCGTCTCCAGCTCGGGGGCGGCGGCTCCTCCGCATTATGGGGCGGCCAGGCGCCAGCAGGCCGCCCAGTCGTCAGCAGTCTTAAACGGGTGGAAGGCGGCAGGCCAGGAGGCGCTGCAGTCGACCTCGACGTGCTCGTCGACCTTGGTGCACGTGCCGTCGCTGGTGATGGAGAAATCATCCATCGGGGGCACGCCCAGGTGGGAAAGACACTGGCTGAGGAAGAGGTCCTCGCCCCACGCCTCCCAATCCAGCTCCTCCTTGCATCTCGACGCTCCATCCTGATACACCTTGACGGCCTGTCTGGATACCACCTCCAACGCGCCGAACATGGCCGGGAAACCGTCTGTTCCTGGGTACGCGTTGCAATTCCTGATGAAGGTTGCTGCGTTCTTCAATTGCTTAACTTTGTTCGCTCCACGTACCTCCGCCTCCTTCAGGTGATCTCGGAGCTTGTCCGCAAAGAGCACTGAGTCTGGGTCCACCTTCTTGGCTCATCTTTGAAATGCCCTACTTGTTTGTAGAGATATAATATTGGGTCCCTCGACAGGCTGAAAACGCTTAGAACACGCGTCGGTCTTTCAGCGCTCTGAATGCAATGTTTTTACTTTTCTCTTCTTCGTCGAGAGATCCATAGGTGGGGCGGGAACCGACACTGCTTCCGTTCCCGTGCGCAGAGCTGAACACGGTAGCACACCACCCTCTGACACCGGTCTGACACCTGCGCGCAACAGGCCTGGCAGCCCGCGGCGGGCTCCGACGATGGAAAGCAACAGACCTGACAACGACACAACAGCGATGCGTTTTTGGCGTGTTCGATTCTCTCGCCGAGACCTGAAAGCGCCAGTACACTGGCTGCCGAGACGCCGAGTCCAGAACGCAAAGCGCAAAACCCTTGGTCGGGAGCGTTTGGGTAGCGTGTCACTGCGGCAGCCCCGGCTGCACACCGTGCCCTGCCAAGCGGGTAGCGTGCCGCTCCGCTTCGCACGACGGGAAGAGGGGAAACACTCGGGACGTTGACGCTGGGAGGCTGGGGACAGACAAGCGCGTTCCAGTACATAGAAGCAGACGTCTGTTTTCAGGACGTTTGCGAGTAGGCACATTGCGAGTAGTGGAGCGCGCCCGCTGAGGGGTAGTGACAGCGCGTCGCGCCGAAGCGCGGTGGCCCACAACCCGCAGCGCGACACGCTAACCGCTAATCAGAAGTTCTCAGCCTGATTTGGCGGCACGCACAAGGGGGTAGGTGGAGTGGGGAGGGCTTCTGAGAAGGAGGCTGCTTCTTAGAAGGCGCTGGCCTTACATCTACAGAGAAGGCCCTCACCTTCTAAGAAGCAGGGGTGCTTCTGAGAAGCCTTCCCCCCTCCCCCTAACCCCCTCTGCGCGTGGCTGACGGAATTAGGATGAGCCAAGTCCACCTTCACAGTCCAGTCGAAGCTGAGGGCCGCCGTCCTGCGCAGGACCGCCTGCCACGCACGCATGAACAGGGCCGCGTTGCCGGCGGTGCCGTCCTTGGAGGTGCCCACCGCAGCGCCCTGGAAGGTCAGCGCGGCCACCTCTCCACCAGACCCTGCTCCGACGGTCCACTCCTGCTCGCTGAGCACCGCGAAGCCGTCGCAGCCGAAGATCCCCGCGCCCAGCTCCAGCTGCTTCGCCATCAGATCCGCCTCGTAGTTGGTGCTGCGCGCGAGCGTCCAGCAGAACACCGAGAGCCCCTTCTTCAGCGGGGCTCTGCACGGCCTCTCGCAGCTGGCCTTCTCCCAGTGTCGCCAGAGGTGGGCCTGGAAGTCCTCGAAGGAAGAGCCTCTCATCAAGTTCTCGTACCATTCTGGATGTTCCTCGATGCCCTTGTCGGAAGCGTACATCACCTCCTCGTAACAGCGCGACCCAGGCTGTGCCGTGCTGCAGCTGCAGCTCTGCTGGCAGCTACTAGCTCTGCCAGCGTCCGAGTGCAGGAAATCCTGGACTTGTTCGAAGGACGACGACTCACTCAGACCCGCCCACCTTTCGGGATTCTCCCGGACGTCGTCCATCGCGCTCAAGACCTCGTTGTAGCAATGCTCACCGACGACGGGCGTCATGCAGCTTGTGGTGGTCGAGGTCGAGGTGCTCGTTGTGGTCGCGGAGGTCGTAACCGTGCTTGGTGTGGTGGACGTGTTGGCCACGAGGGGGAGCGCGCTCCCATGCCCAGAGGCTGTGGCCGTTCTCGTCGTGGTGGGCAAGTGGGCCACGACAGAGAGGGCGCTCCCCTGTTCAATCTCGCCCTGCTGCGAGGGACCGGGCTGCACGTCCACTACCATGGCCCTGCGCTCGTTGATGCCGCCCCCCCTCTCCCTCAGCATCGAGCCTGGAAGATGGTAGTAGCCCGCGAGCAGGGAGCCCGAGAGCACCAGCAGGAGGGTGCCCGACAAGCAGGCCCCCAACCACGCCATTTTCACATTCCGCGGGGTCTCGGCGCTGTCTGAGCGCGGGGACAAGATGCCCCACGAGACCCACGAGACCCTGCCCACATTCAAGGCCGTCCTCTGCTCCGCACGCTGCCGCAGCAACCGGGCGCTCTCGCTCGCGCTCGGCAGGGTGAGGCGCGGCACGGAAGTCAGAGAATTCTGGCGCGACACGGAGCTCAGGGAGTTCTGGCGCGACACGGAACTCAGGGAGCTCTTCCGGAGGGGCGCGGTCGGATCATGGTCGTCGTGCCGAGCAGAGGCGGCGGCGACCGCCGCCCACCCCGGGGGGGACGTCGACCGCATCACGCCAGCCGGCGACTCCGACCTGGGTGACCTGTGCGGCACTGGCGGTAGCCAGTAGGTGCGGCGTGTGTCACGGGGGGTCCTCGACGCCGCCGAGCGCGGGGTCGGCGGCAGCGACCGCGGCGTTGTGCGGCCTGCCCCGCGCGGGGTGCTGCCCGTGGCCAAGCGCGGCGTGCCGCTCGGCCCGAGCGCGGCGGCGCGGTCCACTCCGCGCGGGGTCGTGTCCTCCGTGGACGCCGTCGCCCTGCGCGGGAGCCAGAACGAGGGGGGCAGCACCCGCGTCGTGCCGCCCATGGCGCCGACCCGGGTCCCCTTCGCGGCCGAGGCGGAGAGCCGCGCGCGCGGTGCCCGGCGGGCTCCCTCCGCGCGCTGGGGGGACGCCGCGGGACCGGGGCGGCTCCCAGAGCCAAAATGGTTGCGGGCTCTCTTATTCCTCTCGCGTCCTCAGCCTGCTGCTGCTGCTGCTGCCCCTCTCCTGCGAGTGCAGAATGGCATGCTGTGCCGAGGGCTCCTGCTTTGTCAGGCGTTGGCCCCGGCTCTCGTCCTGGGCACGGTCGCTGCTCGTGCCTGGGAGCGCATGTGCAGAGTCCATTGTTCAGAATCCTCCACCCACCCCCCCTGGATCCCTCGGATCGCCGCTACATAGCAACCGTGGCCCGAGGCTCTGCGCAGAGAGCCTCTGAGAGGCGATCGCAGGGGGCCCACCTGCGCGCGAGGACTCGGCGTCACAGGCGAAGTCTCGCCCGGCCCATCCCCGATTCCTCCCCCAGCAGAAGCACGCCGTCTAGAACATCAGGGAGGCGGGGGACGCACCCCCAGGGGGGCTATTCGCACGCACCCATTTCGAAAGTGGACGCCACGATCGTGTATCCCCGGACGGGGCCCCAAATGGAGGGCTCAAAAAACCTTGAATTACCCGGGCGACGTGCCCAACCCCTGCGCAAACGCGGGGCCCAAATGGTTTAGGACACTTTATAACGGGGGCGATGACGGAGCGAGGGCTACGTGTCTGCAGATGGAATTCGGGAGACTCGCAGGACACTGGCTACAGGACAAGGACTAGATAAAGCTGATTAGTTACAATCTCTGAGCAACCCTAGCCACTTCGAAAGCGGGGATCCCATATCGCAGCCCCCCAAGGACGGCGAGGTCTAATTTGGGTCCGCGCGTGGCGTCACTGTGCTGCCCCCCCCCAGCAGGCCTCGAAAGCGGCGACAGTTTCACAGATCGCAGCCCCCCAGGGATGGCGAGGTCTAATTTGGGTCCGCCCGTGGCGTCACTGTGCTGCCCCCCCCCCAGCAGGCATCGAAAATGGCAACAGTTTCACAGATCGCAGCCCCCCCAGGGATGGCGAGGTCTAATTTGGGTCCGCGCGTGGCGTCACTGTGCTGGGCCCCCCAGCAGGCCTCGAAAGTGGCGACAATTTCGCAAAACGCAGCCCCCAAAGGATGGCGAGGTCTAATTTGGATCCGCCCGTGGCGTCACCGTGCTGGGCCCCCCAGCAGGCCTCGAAAATGGCGACAGTTTCGCAGATCGCAGCCCCCCAGGGATGGCGAGGTCTAATTTGGGTCCGCCCGTGGCGTCACTGTGCTGGGCCCCCCAGCAGGCCTCGAAAGTGGCGACAGTTTCACAGATCGCAGCCCCCCAGGGATGGCGAGGTCTAATTTGGGTCCGCCCGTGGCGTCACTGTGCTGGGCCCCCCCCCGCAGGCCTCGAAAGTGGCGACAGTTTCACAGATCGCAGCCCCCCAGGGATGGCGAGTCGCAGCCACCCCCCCCCAGCAGGCCTCGAAAGTGGCGACAGTTTCACAGATCGCAGCCCCCCAGGGATGGCGAGGTTTTGGGTCCGCCCGTGGCGTCACTGTGCTGGGCCCCCCAGCAGGCCTCGAAAGTGGCGACAGTTTCACAGATCGCAGCCCCCCAATGGCGAGGTCCCGCCCGTGGCGTCACCGTGCTGGGCCCCCCAGCAGGCCTCGAAAGTGGCGACAGTTTCCAGATCGCAGCCCCCCAGGGATGGCGAGGTCTAATTTGGGTCCGCCCGTGGCGTCACTGTGCTGGGCCCCCCAGCAGGCCTCGAAAGTGGCGACAGTTTCACAGATCGCAGCCCCCCAGGGATGGCGAGGTCTAATTTGGGTCCGCCCGTGGCGTCACTGTGCTGGGCCCCCCAGCAGGCCTCGAAAGTGGCGACAGTTTCACAGATCGCAGCCCCCCAGGGATGGCGAGGTCTAATTTGGGTCCGCCCGTGGCGTCACTGTGCTGGGCCCCCCAGCAGGCCTCGAAAGTGGCGACAGTTTCACAGATCGCAGCCCCCCAGGGATGGCGAGGTCTAATTTGGGTCCGCCCGTGGCGTCACTGTGCTGGCCCCCCCAGCAGGCCTCGAAAGTGGCGACAGTTTCGCAGATCGCAGCCCCCCGCAGGCAAGACAGGAGGAGGCAAGAGGTAGGCGGGACGGGAGGCAGGAGGGAGGAAAGGAGGAAGTGGAGACCTCACTGCTCCATTCAAAACGAATACCCAACCAAGGAGGGTTGGGAATAAAGCAGGAAGCAGGACGCAGGAGGAGGGAGGGAGGCGGGAGGAAGGAATGTGGAGACCACAGTCCCTTCTTCAAAACGAATACCCAATAAAGGAGGGTTGGGAACTAAAAAACCTGACCATCTGTCGGGAGGCCGATATTTACTTCCGCCGCCTTCCGCTGGCCTTCCGCCGGCGGAGGCGGCCTCGTTTTGCTTCCCCCGCCCTACGCCGAGGAAGAGACAGCAACTCCCTCGATCCTCGAAGACGAGGCCCTTTCTTGAATGCCTCGTGGATCTCCGAGCTGGGCCTCCCATGTTTCGCCCAGTCGAAAAATCCCCACACTGTCGGGGATCGGGGTCGCCACGCGCCTGGTGGAGGGCGAGCTGTCGCTCCGACACGTAATGATGTTGTCTCCAACGCGGGGCCACCTAAAAGAATCCCCGACCACCTCCTCCTCCTCCTCCTCCTCCTCCTCCACCTCCTCCTCCTCTATTCCATCTCCTTATAGGTAACTCCTCCCTGTCGCACCCTGAGGCCAGTTTTTAAGGCGGGCCGGGCGTTTTGCCTGAGACTTCCTCACCACTTATGACTCTGAGGCTTGAAAAATGATGGAGGGCGGGTGGTTTTCAAAGTGTAGCTCTGGCCTTTGCGCCGCGCGCATTCGCTTTAACATTTGCAAGATTTTCACGGAGTGAGGGCGGGTCGTTTTCAAAATGTGGCTCTCGCCTTAGCGCCGCGCACATTCGTTCAACAACTTGCAAGAGCTTGACGGATTGAGGGCGGGTCGTTTTCAAAATGTGGCTCTCGCCTTAGCGCCGCGCACATTCGTCTTAAAAAATTGCGATGGGTTTCGCGGACTGAAGGCGGGTGGTTTTCAACATGTGGCTCTCGCCTTAGCGCCGCGCACATTGGTTTAAAAAAAATTGCAAGAGTTTCACGGAGTGAGGGCGGGCCGTTTTCAAAATGTGGCTCTCGCCTTAACCCCGCGCACATTCGTTCAACAAATTACAAGAGTTTCACGGAGTGAGGACGGTTCCTTTTCAAAATGTGGCTCTCGACTTTGCGCCGCGCACGTTCGTTTTAAACAATATGCAGAAGTTTCCCGGATTCAAGATTATGCGGGTGCAGCAATTATGTTGACTCGCGGTGTTGAAGTCCCGGAAATGGCGCTCTAGCACGATTCCGGATTGTCAAGTCGCAGCAGTCAGGTAGATACGTGGCGTTGAAATCCCGAGAATATTTTTTTGGCTTGATTCAGGATCTTCATACGGTTGTCTTCCAATGAGGCAATTCCCTCAATGGGAACGAACCGTTGTGGGGGCCGTTGATGACTCTTGGTTTTACACTGGTCCTCCTCCTCCTCCTCCTCATCCCCCTCCTCCTCCCCCTCCTCCTCCTCCTCCTCCTCCTCCTCCTCCTCTTCCTTCTTGCCTCCCGGGCCTGCTTCTTTCCTCCCAGGCCGTGCTGCGATGGCCATGGCGGAGCCCAAGAGCGGCTCACCCCGGAGGTCGAGAGCGGGAACTTTCTTTTGCTTGTTTGCTGTCGTGGCGCCTGCGATCGCGCGGCGCGGCCAGGGCTCGAACTGAAGAAGACGGGGACACA